TGGCTTGCTGGCTTGCTGGCTTGCTGGCTTGCTGGCTTGCTGGCTTGCTGGCTTCCTTGCTCCCTCCCTTCTTTTCTCATTGTTTCTACCAACAACTTCGTTGAAAAGAATAGTTATATTTTCTGAATCATATAAAGTAACATGCACACTTACGTTTATTGCAGATTTTTGAGTTGCCGAAAACAGTTGCTTTCCATCCATAACAACAGTAAAGACTGTCAACTGGTTTTGCTACTGTTTGAATAACGTACTTGGACCTTGTTGCTATCCTGAATCGAGAATATATACGTCATCAAAATAGTAGTTTATATACCATAAATATCATCACTGCCTAATTATCTCTAACCGCAATCATTTTTTTATTATTCAAGACAAATGGAGAAATCATCTCCATCATTCAACGCTGTCTAATAAATTGAATAAAAAAATTCACAGTGATGAATAAATGGTTATATGATTAATAATCATAAATGATTATGAACGGATACTATGACTAATGTCACATTAGTATAATCGCCCGATTTATATCGAAATACCGTACCTGCTTTTAGTGCAACGCCATAAGCCAAAAATCCCACATGAGGTCTGTCTGTTGTCTCTGAAATGAGACACTTTAAAAACGGAAACAGGCTCATTTACTATGATCGTTTTTCTGCAAACGTTTGATCTGTAAGAACATAATATTTAAAAACGTCGTCAATCAGCTACTGTGAACATGAATCTCACTTTCCCTCTCGCGTAGACAAAAAAGTACCTCTTTCATTGCAGAGCAAAAATTCAGGTAGATGGTTACCAAGGAGGTGGTAGATGGTGCTGGCCATAAATTAACAATAGAGCGGGGATTGCGTGGCCCCTCAACAATCAAGGTTAGTTATTGACTACTTAGGACATTTGCACGAAGTACTAAGAATGACGATAACTCACTGAGTTAGGTAGACTAAGGTGAGCTTAAACTTGCATGACCGTCAACTTTTGGAAACCCAGCAGTTGCCAGTTCCATATGTAGTACTGATGGTACTCGTTTTCGTAATGAGCAACGATAAACGCTTCGAATCAAACACTACCTTAAACTTAAATGACAACAACTTTCTAAAAAGTGCCCAAATTACAAAAAGCAAACAACCATTTGAATCCCCTTGAGAAAGCCTTGTCTCCTCATGCGAGTTTTCTCATTTCAAATCAGGTTTTTTTTTCTTGATTTTTATTTTTTCAAAGCCCCTCTTAGCGCCTCTAACACAAGGACGTACGTGCTAGCCCTCTTTTGCTCAAAGATCATATCTGCCTCGCGCTTCGCACTTGCACTAGGCATAAGTTTAATGAGTGCGACTCGGTGCAAGTCTAGTCGTTCTGTATGCTTTAAATACTATTTCTGTTTACTGCTTGAGAGATACATAACATGAATAAGACTCCAAAAAAAATCTTGAAATGAGGAAACAATAGCTGACAGTAGCTGGAGATAAAAGTCAATACCTAATGATAAATTGAAAATTGTCTGTTACTGATGATATCTAGAAGGTTGACGCGTTAATAAAGTTTGTATCAGTATGTATATATTATACATAGTTAGAACTTGGTATTATTGCCAATATTCCATACCCATGTGATTGAAATCCATTCATGATAACTTTTCTGGAACAGACTTGGATTAAACAGCAAACCAAGAATAAACCAAGAAAGATAATCCTAATCTTGAGCATCATTTTTTAACAGATGATAAATTTCCTTTCCTTTTGCAATTGCAGTGCAATCAGGCATGTATTGGTAAACCGTGCATGTTCACCAATTGCAATTTCTCTTTTTAACTTTGGACTAATATTGATATATGAGAAGGTATTTATAAAACTTGACAATTCTCCAAAACAAATTCAAAACATTTCAGGTTATTGACCCCTTCGATTGAAGTATTCGTTGTGACGAAGATTAAAAACAACTGGCTTTGTTGCATTGACCTTCATACACAGATTGGGTTCTAGGCTGTCTGCATGATTTGCTTGCACGCCGTGAAGAATCCAGTCAACTAATTTAGTTGTTTTTTTGTTGTTGTTGTTGTTTTCAGATTTTGAAACACGTGCACAGGTGAAGAAGAAACAGTTATAGAACAGTTTAATTAAATGGTTAAAATGTCTGCGTTATTTCATTTATCAGGCTACTTTTAAATTTGCTTTTTGGTCTGTGTGTATATGGGCGTAGGTTTCTTTTTTTCTGAAATAAGCGATTAAGTTGACTTGCAGATACGGAACTGTGCCAAAACTAAGAGCCCTGACTCGACCATCCATCTCAGTGTTTAAACTTGCTAGAAACGTCTTTAACAGACATGTAACAGGAAAAAAATACCATGTAATGGGATCAACTTGACCATTTGAAACATTACACTAATCTTAATCTCAAACCTGGCCTGTGGCCTGAACAACAACTAACGTCGGCTTACGCCTTTTAGTTAAGTGCCAAAAAAGGTGAAAATTTCATTTTTTTAGCTTATGTATTCTCAAATATCGAATGTTTTGGTATCATACTACTCGTGTTGCATTTTTGGATGTTCCTTGACCGGAATTTGCCTGAACGTAACACTATTATATAATAAGGAAAATTTGCAAGTAAGCAAATTATGAGTAATCTCATCATTTATGTATGCGTATTATGTATAACTGAATAGTAACTTTACATGTTCATGCCTTGAATGTTTAACTTTACTACTTGGTTAATCGGCATACGTGGAAATATTTACCGAAAAAAAAWATCATGACTCACAATGCTATACGAAAAGCTACCTTGGTATATATATTTGCATTCAAAAACAAACAGGCTTTTTCATTCTCAGGCCTCGGGCACTTTGCCTTTTCTATGCATAAAGACGTTTTCAAGCGGATAATCAGGATCCCGGCGGGATCAATATAATAAACAAATGCTTTCATGCATCTTATTATCAAATTGCTAAGTAATAGATCAAAAACGAGTGCGAGTGTTTGATCAGGGCATCAAAACACCCAGAAACCGATGAAAGCACGAGGTCGTAAACACGAAGCACGAGTTTTTGAACTTACTTCTCAGTCTCATCATAATTCATTTGTTCTTGAATCTACTGAGACTAAAAAAGTGAAGAGTGTCTTGATCCGTTCTTGATCAAGTGTCAAGGTGCGTGCATGTGACTACAATGCAAAGTCGCCATTGGCCATTGCCCTCATAAATTATTAATGAGTTTGAGAAGTAATTTTACGAACCCTGCCATACGAATATATATATATATATATATATTAACATAAAGAGTTGCTTGAAGTGGAAAATTCACTGTATGTGTACTAATCAGTCCTATTTATTTATTTTTATTAACCCTTATTTCTGACAAAGAGCTCAATCTTGGCTCATGAACACAAGCTACTAAATCCAGTTCCTTTAGTCATTGATGCTCAGCGCGAACTGTAAAACAAAGATATGAAACTAAGATTACTAAAATTGCAAGATTTTTTAAGATTATTAAAATTGTATAAGATTTCTGAAACTTTATATAAACAAAAACGATAACAGGTAGCAACTTAATTACCTCCGAAATGGTAGACACTTCCTACGGTCTGGTGCCATGCGGTAGCCAAGATTACAAAGACAACGATACGAGCCGTAGAAATTTAGACATCTGTGATCACATCCACCGTTGTTGTCTGCACACTCGTTTAAATCTAGAAAAAAATATCAAGACATATATATTTTAGTTTCAATTCCATTCAAATAAATTTTAATTTCATAAGAAAATCAATACATCGAAAGATTGGTTATAAAGATGATTACGTCTTTCATACCCTTGCAAATGCTGTTCTTCTTATCGTACTTGAATCCTTTAAAGCACGAACATTCATAGCTTCCTGGTTTGTTGACGCACTTGTGTGGACAGTTGTTAGTAATGCTGGACAGACATTCGTCTACATCTATCAATACAGAAGCAAACCGATACATATTAATAGCCATAGCACATAGTGTAGCTCAAGGACAACTTCACTAACCAGTGCAGGTGTTAGGCCTGTTTAATTGGTACCCTTTAGGACAGACGCATTTGAAGTTACCAATAGTGTTCACACATGTTGCATTGCAATGTGAATCTTTGCTAGCGCAAAGACAAAGAGGTTGCGGAGACATCTTGCATTCATTGATGTCTAAATATAAATAATGTACATATATATATTTAGTATAGGAATTCGTACGATTTCAAGTACAATTCGCAATTTATAGGTACGAGTGATGTTTTGAAAGTTTTTAAAATTGGACCAGCCTTTAGGCGAGTTCAATTTGAGAACTTTCAAAACATCACGAGTATCTATAAATTCCGAATTGTACAAGAAAATTGTGCGATTTTTTGTTCATAATACACTCAACAAAATTGAGCAACTTAATTGTTACTATACAGATTAGAATTTGGGATTTAATTGTACTCATCTTGTCCAATCAGAATCGAGTAATTTTGTAGAGTGTATTATAACAAATGTAATTGCTATTTAGATTTAACTACGTGGTGAAGAGCCACTAGATTTTTGGAAATGCACCAGCTGCAGCAAAATTGCATTGGATTGGTTTTGTTGGAATTTGATTTCTCGTCATCATATTTGATAAATACGATAACTTATGAATACATGTACGATTCGCCTACCTAAACACTGTGTGGGATCGTTAATATCAATAATGTAGCCTCTTCTACAAGTACATCTTAGCGAGCCTTCCGTGTTATGACATTCCTGTTGACAACCGCCATTCTTGATATAACACTCGTTGATATCTTAAGGAAGAAAGAATTGGCAAAAGGATTTTCTAATCGATTATACATGAATCTCTTTCTTAGTTGTATTTTAGAGTTACCACTTACCTTCGCTGCATGTATAGCCTCTCCAACCTCGATCACAGTCACAGGTATTTGCCGCCACACACTTGCCATGTTTACATCCATGGACGCACATAGCTTATTGTTAATAATCAATGTTAATAATAATAATGATGTATAATAGTATAAGGTTGATATTTTTGTCGTTTATAATATATGATACAATCAGTTTACACTCAATTGCAGGAAGGTTGTAGCATACATTTATACATATATACAAATACCTAATTAGGTGTAAAAACAGTGAAAAAAATGAATAACTCTTTAACCGTTCCTTCATAATTTAAAAAAAACTTTTCGAGATGTTGTATCCGTATAGAAAATGAAAAATATGATTTGAGCGTAATGAGATGTTATTAAATATATATTTGAGAAATTTTAGGCTAAAAAAATGAAAATGCATAAATAAATAAGCTTAATTAATGTCCAATATTTTACAACCTTATGTATTTGACGTGTCTTGCATTAAAAAGCCGAATAAAAGTATTTTTGTTAACTTTCAATATATACACAATCATATTCTAGGATTTTTTCCATTTTTTCCCATCTCATTAGACAATTGTATATATGCACAACTGTATACTACAACCTTTCTGCAATCAAGTGTAACTATTCCTTTTGGTTTTTATTGTCTTTTAATTTATTTGTTCTCATTTCTAGTTTTGCTTCTTTTTTTCTGAATGCTGTTGGCTGCTGTTGTAGTTATAAAAGATACAATTAGGCATGGAGTATTACGATTAAAATCGTGATACTCCATGCCGCTCAGTCAGTATTACTCACGTTTTAAGCATTCTGTTTCATTTTGGCCCATTTTCCCCCATTGATGACAGCAGTCGAGAGAATAGCCGTAGAGTTTTTGCACAGYCAGTTGATAAAAACTTTGCATACGAATTCTAAAGTTGTGACAATAATTTTTTATAATTAATTAACCTTTTATGATGCAAAGATGAGAGTATGTGGACCGCGTAGCACTAATGAAATAGTAGAAGATAATATAGGTAARTTGTAGTGCTTGGGAACGAGGTTATTCCGGGCGAAAGCCCTTGGAATTAAATTCGGAAAAATTAATTTCCGACCTCGCTGGGATTCTCSCTGGGATTTAATTTTTCCGAATTTAATTCCAAGGGCTTTCGCCCGGAATAACCTCGTTCCCAAGCACTACAACTTACCTATATTATCTTCTAACCTTTTATGACTTGAAACGTTTCTCTAGTATCGTGTAATGACAATGAGAATTTAATAAAACCAAATCATCCCATCCTTTAATTCATCTTAATTAATTACAAGCAAGCCATAGCAATTCAAATTGAATACTTGCCTCGTCTTTGTGCAAGGCCTGAACCTCAACCAGCCAATGAAGCTGTAACATGAGGTATTATACCTCTCTTTGTGCTCGCGTTGTCTTAGAATTTTTATGTTTATCGTTTTAGTGATAGGGTTTTGGCAGACGTTGGAACTGAAAAAATACAAGGTGTTTAAAATACTAGTTACCGCCTGTAGTTTTCTGTTCGATTTCTGAAGATTAACGAAAAATACAACCAAATAGAAATACCTAAAAAAGACTAAATAATACTTTTTAGTCGTTCTTCAGTGTTAGAAAAAATAAAAAAAATAATACGAGTTTTTTTTCAGTATCATATTGGCTATGCATTGTACTTCTTACCCGTTTATATCCAAACCATTGCTTTGGATAAAGTCCGGAAATGCAGAAGTTGTATAGTCAAAACATACGAACACCAAACTACAAACAACCATTAATATTTTGACCGCCATGCATAGCTTCAACATCTTCGATGGTTTTGTTAGGCTTGTTATATTTATTTTAGATAGTGCCTGAATTCGGAAGATCTAAGAGAGGCAAATATCTTGATGTGCAGTGGAGGGAGCGAGTCTAGATCTGCTGCAGAATCTCCTTGCCTGACTTGCCAGCCAAAGTCCAGAGGCCAGTGTTTCAGTGTTTAAGTATACCAAGAGAGCATAAATAAGAGAGGGAAACTTCTTAACGCGCGCACCATGTACATTCCCGGTTGGGCTATTTTTGGTAACCGGATGCAGTTTAAATTGCGAGTATACACAATTACAGAACCTAAAACTTCCATTACTATTTGACCTTGAATTGTACCTATATCAATTCACTTTAGTTTGGTTCGAAATGCGCCAAGGCGTGTGAGGTAAGGTTAATGAGATGAATCCTTGCCAAGACCAAACTGGTAAAAAAATCCTATATACAAGCTAGCTAGGGGGGGGGGGGGGGGTTAAATTCCTTTCATTTTAATTTTTCTCACCCATTTTCAAAGGCTATTAATAGTAGATTAGGTTGGTAAATGAAATGCATGAAAAAATACATGATGGGCCTTTTGCAACAGTAGATCACGTGACCCTCATCCCCGTAAAAAGAGACGTTATGTCAAAATGAACACCAAAAATGGAAAGAGCACCTCGATATTAGTAGGAAGGCAAAGTTTCAGCTTATTACATTATGCAACATCTAACATATTTCCCCACACAAATCCTTATAAAATATTCGATTGTTGTCTCTAGTTGTCAATTTTTCTTAAAGAAATAACTTGGAGTTGCAAAGAAGCAATAATGAAGGGGCTACAAACGAACTGATGATCAGTCGACATCAAAGGAATCTGGATCAATAAAGCCGTTTTTCACTTGACACCAAACTAATATACAATGATTCACCAAAAATTAATCAAAAAATAACAACAATCACTAGATCATTGGAAAATCGCAATATCATCGCCTTCTGATTCAAATAAGCCCCTGCGCATTTCTAGCTAGTTTTTGCATGTCAATTGAAATTTGATCCATATGTCGTGATATGTATATATATTTACTTGTCTTTCTTGGTTTTTCTTAGAACCGGGGTGTCGTCTGAACGGACGCTACATATACTCATCAGGATTATAAACAAGTACTCAAAAATTATCAGGATTGCGTGATAGAGGTTTTTAAGTATGCACCGCCGGTTTTTTTTACAATCATTTGTCATTTTTGTTGTGGTCATCAGTTTTCACAAAAGTAAAGTCAGTAGTTCAACAAGGTAAGCCGTTCAAGGATCAAAATCTAATGCGCCGCCTCTCACCAATGCGGCCCGAGTTCGAGTCCTGTCGATCTCGATGCCGTATGTGAGTAGAGTTGTTTGTTGGTTTTCTCCTGTGCTTCGAGGGTTTTTCTCCGGGTTCTGCGGTTTTCCTCCCTCCTCAAAAATCAACTACTAAATTCTAATTCAATCAATAAATCTGTTGTGATTGTCCTACGCTATGATACAACAGCTAAAGCTTTATTTATCTATATTCTCTCTCTCTCTCTCTCTCTCTCTCTCTCTCTCTCAAATCTGATGAATTCCGCAAGGAACTTAAATTAAACTTGCCTAATATTTCTTTGAATATCCATGTTAATCCTAATGATTCATGGAAAGAATGGAAAGCAAATTTTCAAAATATTGCTGACAAACATGCACCCTCTAAATCTAAGAGAGTAAGGTGTAAAAGCTCACCTTGGCTTACATCGGAATTAATGAAATCTATTTTTGCGAAACACAAGCTTCACAAATTAGCTGTATTGTCTAACTTACCGGATGACTGGGCTGCATATCGGCGATTAAGAAATGTTACAAACAACTTGATTAAAAAAGTAAAATCTGATTATTATTATTATGATAAACTAAATTTAAATTCCGGTAATCCCAAGGCTGTCTGGAAAACTATTAACCAAATTTTGAATCGAAAAATGTTTCAAATACCATTTCTGAACTCAAAATTGGCGACACGAAATTGTTCGCTTCAAATGAGATTAGCAATGCGTTTATTAACGAACATTTTGCAAGTATAGGGTCCAAACTTGCTTCTACATGTAAAACCTCTGAAGTCAGTTTCGAAAGTTTTATCAGACCTGTTAACACAGAATTTAAGCTTAATGAAATAGATGAATCTACTGTATTAAATTTACTACAAAAACTACCCACTAACAAATCTAATGGACTTGATAATATATCAAGTATCTTGCTTAAAGAAGCTGCCCCGGTAATTTCTAAATCTCTTTGCGATATTTTTAACCAGTCTATTCAAACGGGAATTTTCCCTGAAGATTGGAAACTTGCAAAAGTCACTCCAATTTTTAAAGCCAATGAACGCTCTGACCCTAGTAATTACCGACCAATTTCCGTGATTGGTACTATTGCTAAAATTTTTGAGAGAATCGTTTACAACCAGTTTTATGATTATCTCGTGTCTCATAAAATTCTCAGCAAGTATCAATCAGGGTTTCGCTCCCTCCATTCCACTGTCACAGCCTTACTTGACTCTACTAATGAATGGTTCTTAAATCTCGACCAAGGACTTTTAAATACTATAGTATTTCTTGACCTAGCTTAAGGCTTTTGACACTGTTAATCATGCTATATTACTTAAAAAACTATATCTTAATGGTGTCAAAGGCTCTTCGCTTGAATGGTTCAGTTCTTATCTAAACAATCGGCAACAGAGATGYTTTRTCAATGGTAGTCTTTCTGATYCTTCTTTTTTGACCAGCGGCGTTCCGCAAGGAACGATCCTAGGTCCATTATTATTTCTAGTTTATATCAATGACCTTCCCTGTTGTCTAAATTTTTCATCGGTTCGTATGTACGCTGATGACACGAGCATCTCTTTTGCTGCCAAAACCCTACATGAACTTGAACCAGCTATTAATGATGATTTGAGTAAAATAAGTACTTGGCTTTTAGCAAATAAACTTAGTCTAAATGTGACAAAAACCGAGTACATTATCTTAGGGTCTCACTTTGAGCTAAATAGCTTAGTGCGCAAGCCGTACAT